AGTTTCCCTTGTCAAAGTTTCAAGGACCAATGCCTTTAAATAAAGGACGCCGATAAAGGGATACAACTATCTGAGGCCATTTATTAATTGTGAACTCGATCATTGTGCTTCAGTTAATTTTGCGCTTGTAAAAAAATTTATTTAAACCAATGGTTATTGCCTTTGGCACTTTTACTAATTTGGAGATATAGAAAAGGAAATCGCTACTGTAATTTGACAAAGAAGACACTTGCGAGTTGGATAAAGGGCAAATCAGCGTTTTGTTTCACACACAGATAACAGGTTTTTTCATTTAATTAGCTTTATCCTCACCCACACATTTCAATTTTTAAAACTCTTTTCCTTGGAGAAATTCGTGATTTTATATTTGGAAAATTTATGAAATCTAGCATGCCGTGTGCTGTCAGGATGCACGGTGCCTGTTGCATTACACGGGGAGATCGTATCGTGCAAAAGTAAATCTTAAAATTGAAACATTGAACAAATTATTGTAGGTGTTTTCTGTGTGATATGATACACGGCATGTTAGATTTCATAAATTTTCTAAATGTTGAATTACGAATTTCTTCATTTTTTGTAAATCAACCATATGCATATTTTGTGTTGTCATACAGAAAATTGATTACTCTTTTTAAATAGCATAAAAAAACAGTATTGCATTTGAAAAAGAAAAGTTGCATCGATTTCCGGTTAAACCGTAAGTGATTCCGGAAGTTTAAAAATGCGAACAGATAGATCGTAATGTTACATATAAAATTACATCTGTTGGTATCTCCCCACATAAAATAGATATTGAGGTGACCTTTTATCTCGAACGCACTGTATATACTACTAACAAATTCATCTAGTCCCAAAATTGGTGCCGCCAATGTTCTGCTAACTTCATGGACCCAATGCACTTAGAATCCTGTATGTATTTGGAAAGAATGCGTCTTTTTGCTACCAAATTTCTTTGGCATTCTTAATTGTTAAACCCGGTATAGGTATACCACGGCAGCTAATTTTTCAACTTCTAGTTTTTGCTTTTGATGAATTGGTTGTCTTGTTGCAATTACCTTAATAAATGTGTAACAATTCAATATTTCAAAAAATTATCAAATTTAAAAAATCATGAAAATTTATAAAAATTCAGAAAAATGTAGAAAAATATGATCAATTTGGAAAGTGCGAGAAAATTCGAAAATGTTTAAACATCTTTTCCTATCGGAGGAAAACAAATATAAGGGGAGACTTTTCAGAAAAATTATAAAAACTTAATAATAAAAAATATCAAAACAGCTCACAGTAATTTGTACACAATTCGTACACAACGTCAATTAAAAAATTAATAAGGATACCTTTGAAAAGACTTGAAAAATATTGGAAATACAAAAATACGGAAAATTCATTAAGAAAACAGCCTACAAATAATATTTAAAAAATTCAGTTAAAAAAGTCCGGGAAATACAGAAGAATTGTAAAAAGAAAAAGAATTGATTATTTAGATAAATTAAAAATCCGAAAAGTGTACACAAATTTAAGTTTAAATAAACAGTAAGTATGTGCACAACATTCAGCGAATTAAATAAATTCAGCCAGTTCAAAAAAATATAAAAAACGTTTTTCATCGGGAGAAAAATTCACTAATTTCAAAAATTAAAAATATTTGATAAAAGCTGTGAACAACTAAAAACTACAAAAGTATTACAAATAAAGCAGGACATTTTTTAATATTACGCATATTCGCACAATAAAATATTATGATTAAAAAATACGGAAAATTCAGAAAATTGGAAAGCTCGAATTTAGGAAAATAATGATAAATCAAAAACATTTGAACCATAAACAGAATTTAAAAAATTATGGAACCTTCCAAGAAAAGTATTAAAAAGTTCAAAAAACGAGGAATATTCCTGAAAAATCAAAAAAAAATTAATATAATAGACAATCTAATCGAAAAACTTTAAACCGTTTTAGATAAAGCTTTAGAAAAATTCATACACAACATTCAAAAAAATTCAATTCTGAACGTTTTTTAAATTTTTATAGGAAACTCGGTGAATTCAAATGCATGAATATTCATCATCATTAGTGACATTCAACCAATTCCAAATATAAAAATGCTTCCTGTCGCAGGAAAAAATTTAAAACAAATTATAAACATTTGAACATTTTAGAAAATTTACACAACACAAATTCGTAGAAATAAAAAGGTAGAAATGAGTGTCGTCCATAACGTTGGAATTGAAGTGCACAAAATGGGGGCGAATGGTAATCGTTATGAGAAAATATTTATACCTTCCCCATATATTCCTTAATATTATCAAAATTTAACATTTACAACATGTTTCGACATAACCATCATCATCAGGTAACTGAAATCGTAGAGTAAAATCAAGCAATAAAATATCACAAAATACTTACAAGAACTAGTTATCACAAAGAGGTTAAATTGTCTGTGTTAGATTGTTTTAGTTAAATTTAACATCTTTGTGATAACTAGTTCTTGTAAGTAATAGAGGAAATTAAAAGTATTCGAAAACAAAATTCAGACTAAAAAGAATACAGATTTAAATATTGTAACGTAAATTTAATTACGTGGTTTTATTTATTGACAATTAACAATAAATTTATAACAGTCTTAAAATGGATTAATTTATAACAGTAAATATTATTTATCACTTACAATTTATAACATAACATAAACGCATCGAAGTTGAAACTGTTCTGAAACGAAATTCCATGTACTTATAATAACAATATAATAATAATAATAAAAGTCTTTATTAACAGAAACTACAACGTAGGTATACAATAGAAATGAAAATTAATGTAAGAGACGTACTCATGGTCATTATGCCCGTCTGAGGCTAGGCCTGAGGGGTTGTTGTTGTTTTATTAATTTTATAAAAAGAAAAAGAAAAAAAACCACAACTCTAGAGCAAAATAATTATTCATATTACATTTACTTATATAATAAACCCGAGTGTACACGAGTCTATTCGAATGTTCTAGCTAGAGCAGGGGTCGGCAATCTGCGGCTCGCGAGCCGCATGCGGCTCTTTTGATATAAAGTTGCGGCTCTCCGTATTTATCTAAAGAAATTACTTCATTTGTTCGAAATTCGCCTTTTTAATTAATCTTATTTGTTTACCAAATCAAAAGTACACTTGCAGCAAATAATTATCTAATTTGTGACACCTGTTTACCTTTACTTTCTTGTATTCTTTGGTTTTTTTATTATAGCAGCCTACTCCGATGTATAAACACGTAATTAATTAATGAGTAGGTACTTTTGTGAAAAATATTGAATAACATAAAAACTGCGGGGTTTAAGCACAGGGCACCCCTTATAAACATTGAAGAGAACGCAAAAGACAATCGAATAGCGAAATAAAACAGTAGTAGTTCCATTTGAAAAAGAATAGTTATAGCAGTTTGAACAAATGGCATTGAAACAAGTAAAAATATGCAGGATATTCTATTTAAAAAGATCAGTTATTTATTGACATCGTAAAAATGGGACACCCTGTACATGCAAAAATAATTTCTGTAGATCCGCAACCACCAATATTTTTTACCAGGTATCAGCTATGTAGGAAAAACCGACGCATTGTTGCAGGACCCTGTATATAGCCAAATACTATAATATTAAATCAAAATTTTTTTGTGGCTCTTTCAAAACTGGGAAATGTTATAAGTTGTAATTTTTGGCTCTTCTGTTTCAATAGATTGCCGACCCCTGAGCTAGAGCAAAACACGTGACATTTCCGGGAAAGAGTATGTCATCAGCCTTCATTCTTTATCGCCGATGACTAATCTTTCATGGCGCCTCGATATCCATCGAGATTTCTGAAATGTTCGCTACAATATTATTAAATACGGAAAATTCATTTAGAAAACTTCAAAAAATTCAGAACATTTAAAAAATTACTAGGAGTGTACACATTCGAATTTGGGAAAAATAAAGATACATCAGAAAACATTAAATAATAACTAGGTGATCAAGAAACTCGTAAAAATTCAAATAATGGAAAACTTCATAAATGCGCAACAATTGTAAAAAAAACAAAAATGCAGTTTTCGGAGATTTCTATATAATGCGGAAAAATTAAAAACATTTAAAAATTGAATCGAAAAATTAAAAAACCGTTTTAGAAGATTTTGAAAAAAATCGAAACTCACAGAATTCAAAATAATTTGTAATTTTTTAAAAAAATTTCAAATGTGCATAATAAAATAAAAAATAAAATTCGGGATAACCAACGAAAATTTAAAAATAATGATAATCCTGCAAGTGCACACAAAAGTGCAAGTTCAAAAAATAATTTAAAAATCCAAACATTGAAATAGTTTGGGAAATCCAGAAAAATAGCAACAATTCCAGAAAGACAATTGATTATAAAAATTTAGAGAAATTAGACACATTTGAAAAAAACAAATCAAAAAAATTAACAAAACTAGATAATGTGAATATGTTCTAAATATTTAAAAAATTGGAAGATTCGGTAACCTCAAATAAGTTACTCTGCAATTGAGAATTCAATTTTTTTGAAAATTAAAAGTCAAGTAAAAAAAAGTATTCCTGTCGGCAAAAAAATTTCAAGATTTAAATTGGTAGCATACAAATTCCAAAAATTGAATGGTAGAAAATTTTGAAAATTAAAAATATTTAAAAAAAACTTGTGAACAACTAAAGAATTCAGAAATAATAGAAACAATCCAGAAAAATTCAAGTAAATAAATACGGACAATTCATTAAGAAATAAATTTTGAAAAAGCATGAACAGAGGAAAGCTTCAATTGCTTTCTAGAGCGCCGCGCGCCGCCAATTTCATATATGAATCATTATTAGCGAATGACTTCCGTTTTAAATTAATACAGTTCGGATGTTACAACCACATGGCAAACTCTTACGTCACATTTATATCTTGTTCCTAATTCTGCGATAAACATTTATCGCAATAAGCGCATCCGCAAGTGTTTGATCTTCATTTACCTTCACCGACAATTTAGTAAAGATGGTGAAAATTTTACGTAGAATTTCGGTTAAAAGGCCGACAAAGAAAAAGGTCGAAGGGCCGTGTTTGCGTACCCACATTCTACAATTTGTTACTTTCAGGTTAAATTGGCGAAAGTGTTAAAGAAAGGAGATAAAATTGTTAGTGATTCCCAAGAGAGAGCGTACTGGCGTATACATCGACCTCCACCTGGAATGGTGAGTTCCTTGGAGCAATGCCCCGTGCCCAATAGATGTAGGAATGGATCGAGAGTGCGAAAAAGGACCATTGAGGATTGCAAAAGAGAGGTTAGTATAATTTGATAGAAATAAAATGAGAAATTTATATTCCGACGGTCGTTGCGAGCAGATATAAATCGCATTAACTTATCTCGTTCATTTGAAAACGGGTTTGCGAAAATTGGCGAATTATTGGAAACGGGAATCCCTCGTCGTTTCCCTTGATTAGTCAATCAAAAGTCAAATCTATACGTTACCCACTTCTTTTATTTATAGGTTGAGTTGCTCAAGAATAGTTTACTAAGGACGCGAGTGAAAGTATCGCAAGCCCTAGAGAGTATGATGCAACACGTTGAGACATATGCTGAATACGATCCTTTGATTGTAAACACGCAACCCTCGAATCCTTGGGTGAGCGAAGATCTAACGTACTGGCAACTCAACAGTCCTTTGTAAGTGAAAATGTAAGCGATCTCTCGCGTGTTCTCATCGCCGTTATTGTTTTTAGAGTTGAAATACCAACGGAAAAGCGTGTTAGAAGGTGGGGTTTATCAATGGAGGAATTAGTATCGGATCCAACAGGTATCCAGGAGTTCACGAATTATCTTAGAAAGGAATACAGTCACGAAAACATACGGTTTTGGATGGCGGTCAATGATCTGCGCCGTTCCTCTCAGTCTCAAATACAACGAAAAGTTAGCGAAATTTTTGAGTGAGTACTTTTCCTCCAAAGGTCTTTAATTATTTTCTCAAATCTAGTGAGTTTTTGGCACCTGGCGCTCCTTGCGAAATTAATATCGACGGAAAAACAATGGAGAAGGTACACCAGGAGATGAAATCTCCCAGTAGATTTACGTTTGATGCGGCTCAAGAACACGTTTACACTTTATTATTGAAGAAAGATTGTTATCCGAGGTTTATTAGATCGGAGTATTATAAAAGCCTTCTTGCTTCTGGTATTCAACCTTCTCAAAAGAAACGGCAAGTACACGGCGTTTCTGTTCAGCCGTTCTCATGGCGCGTTTGCAGGTTTTTCGGGTTTGGTCCGACGAAAAAGAAAGCATCGACCAGTAGCGCACCAAATCCTTCTCTCCTGCAACAGCAAGCACCTCCAACTACCATCGTCGGCTGTGGCGCTCTTTCAAAACGCAGGGGAAGCGATCGAAGCTTGTCGGGATCGGCACACGAATTGGCTATTTCCGGCGTAAGGGACACGCGCGTGCCGCACTCGCACTCTCAAAGTAATCTCAGCGATATTCCATACAGGTATATTACAATAAACATGGCGGCTTTCATTGCACGGCGCATGAGCTTTAACGGCGCGCTATTTGTATCCGCAATCTAAAAAAAGGGTTAGGGCACATTTTGTACTGTATACCCTGTACATCCTTGCGCGATGTGCAATGCCAAAAGAGAAACTTTTAGAGCCAGTCAAGTCATGCTTCACTTTCAGGGGTGACCTACCAAGCCAGTCTAAGGGCTCGAGCGCACCACTACCAAGTCCGTAAGTGCGAGCGCCTACAATCATTGTACTCATTTTAGGTGTTGTATCGTCGATGTATTCTTGAACCCTTGCCTGAACTGGCAGCTGTTCACGCTCTGTCACGCAATTAAATGTGAATTTTGGAAACCTTTATAAATAATGTATTATCGAGTGTTATTGTGTACCCGCCTTCGTTGCTGTTTCAAGAGATTTTAACTGTTCACTCTGTTACTTCTGAACTTATTTTTTTTTGTAGTCCATGGTAAAGTATTTTTTTAAAAACATATATACATCAAAACGTTAGCCGAAATCTTTGGAATAAGTATAACCACGTTTAATTTGTAAAAATCCAGAAACATTTAAGAACATAGGTATGTACCGTGTGTCACATTTTGGTCGACTGCAGTGTATCTCAGTTGTTTTTAAAGATAGACACTGATTTGTTACGCTGCTCAGACACAGGGTCAAACGAAAAGGTTGACTTTTTGGGATAGAAAAAGTGTAAAATCTGTCTATTTTATTTTTTACATTGAATCCAGTGGCGTAGTAAAAATCATTTTGGGCCACTGTTTCTGAGATTTTGGTATTTTTTAATGCAACATCCTGTATATCTTAATCTTTTTGCATTCTTTTGCCCTTGTATATCACAACCAATATACATTACAAGCAGCGCGATAGTCGCCGGCTCGGACTAGATAGTACGAATAGCACTCCTATAGGTTGCGTTTTACTGCTATGAGGATTCTTTTCGTGTGTTGGGAATTGAATGAAACGAAGCTGCTATGTGCACTGACAACAGGTTCAGCTACACTATAGTCAAAATGTGATCGGCACGATTCTGGTAAATCCCGACAATGCGCGACCAGGGTAATCCAGTGTGAAGATTACGGATGAATGCATTTGCGCGCGTGGTTGAAGCTATAAAGGCCAACAGACTCATCAAAGAGGACAAGATTGCCACCATGGTTAAAATGTCGCCGTTCCACGTTTTTGGAACCATGAAGAAGCACGTACAGGACGCGGTCTGTGATTGGATCGCCTCACACCCGGGGCAATTCTAGGAGCGAGGCGATTAAGGAAAATTTCATCAAAAAGAGTTCGTATGTGCTAACAGAACCGTAGAGGCTGCTAATTCCATAAAACTCATAATCCTGTTTTTTAATAGTCGTGCTCGGCGATTTCGTATCGCCTATTAGTCAATGCCGTGTACCTATTTTCCCGTTCTCGTGGGAATTTCTGGAAGTGTACACATTTTCGCTCCCGAAGAAACCTACGTTCTAAATGTAGAAGTCTCTATCTTCCGCAGTTTCAACTATAAAACGTAAAATCTCGTCTTTTTTTGCCTGTATTTCCCCGTTCCCGTTCCGGTGGGAATTTCGGGAAGTGTTTTATTAAATTGGAAACCTTCCGCGCGCATTCATCCATTTGCCAACCTACATCAACGATCATCATTAGTACCTATAACCCACGAACTTATAAATTAAGATTGACTGCTGATCAAACAGTTGCATAGAGGTAGAAATGGCCCTAGCATGGGCGCGGCCATGATGTGCACATTTTAGTTATTTTCTAGGGGATTGTTCCTAGTGCTCAAGTTTTGAGACTATTGCAGCCTTGGAAAATGACATGTGTCACAGTAATTTATTTAGAAAACGTGATGTTAACGTAGATCCACAGCCGTCTATAATTACAAGCCATGCTGAGAAGTTTGGCAACATTGTTCGAAAGTCAATCGGTGAGCCGATTCACGTTTTAATGGCGTCTTGTTTCTCTTGAAAAATTGCATTTTTCCTCTCTCCTGTGTTTCGCCTTGGTGGTTTTAATACAGAAGAAAGATACTTAGGCAGCTTACAATTGTACCTACATATATTTTATTTATTTACAAAAATGGATAATAACATTTTTATTTGACTTTAAAATTCGGAACGCTGTAAATTGGTAAATGCATTATAATGTGTTTTCCATCGAGATCTACGAAATTGGTGAACTTCTGTCGAAAGAGGTCGAGGTAAAGCACACGCTTGAGCACTTAATTTCGGCAAAAGGACAGTAAATCGCTCTGCATCAGCGAGGTTTTATCAACGACCAGGTGTGATTCGGAATGGCAAACTTTCAGCCAGTCGCTACTCCAGTGGGTCTAGGTACGGAGGGGAGCACCGTAGACTTCAAATTCCCGTACCGTGAACTCCTGGAACGGTTCCTTCAGAAAATCGACTTGACATGTCCGTGCTAGAATACCTGAAATACAAACTAATTGTGTTTTTTCACGATAAACACTTACCGTACTTACGTACCATGTAGTGTGTAGGTCATATTTGAGCTTGTACAGGTACTTTGAACAAATACAAGTGCTTGTAAAGGCCTAAAGGGTCCAGTAAGGAGTAGTCTGCTTTAGAGGTTATGACAACAAATCGATATATTTCGTTTAGCAACTTACCTGAATAATAATTTCTGTTGATTCCATACGGAGTAACACAAATTTATGCAATCTCGCTCTGTTAAAACTAGTGAATAGGAATATTACACCCAAAACACATATAAAATACACCTGAAATCTGTCAAGTTGAATTAGGAAATCGGCCTACCATGCAGTGTTGCCCTAATTCTCAGCACGGCTTGTAATTATAGAGGGTTGTGGTAGATCATAGGAGGGTAATGCTTGTTTATTAGTTGATTTGAATTTCGCGCCAAATGAGTGCACATCATGGCTGTCCCCATGTAGGTGTCATTTGTCAATTCAGCATTAGCAGTTCATCTTAATTTATAAGTTCGTGGTATGACCACAAATATACCTACAAAACAACAGATTGCCAACCTTATGTATTTAATGGGTAACACATTTAGGTATAAAGTCCCTAGATTACTAAGGTAACGCGATTCATTAGGCCAGATATTAGACAAAAACAAACTGCTAATTGAGCCAAAATGGCCATTTGACAATTGACACCTAGCGTCAGGTTTGACATTTGTTGTTTTATATTATAATAAAATAGTTATCTGTACATTTAGGACACTACTGATGTAGGTAACCATTTAATTCATTAGAGAAGCGCATCTAGGCACTTTTGCAAGAAAATAGAAGCCGAAAAAAGAAATTACTCAGAAGTGAAGACAATTTTTCTAAAACTTTCAATGAAGATCAATTAAAATATTTAGAATTGGATACACACAAGGGTTTTATGTGGAGTGGTGAAACGATTGAAAAAGCGAAACAACTCCATTTTTCTTGTGATGTGAATCGCTCACAAAACTTGCCCTATCCAAGTATCCGCACTACAAAATACGTACTTTATACATACTTTTCAACTGTTTTTCAATTTTAAATTTCGCGGTTCCAAAACTGAGCCAAAATGGCTGCTATTCGCGTTACTTTAGTGATCTAGGGACTTTAATTTAGGTATAAAGTCACTAAATATAGAAAGTACCGCAATCCATTGGGCTCGTGTGTTAGAGAGAGCGCATGATTTCTGCCCACAAATGGCGGAAGTTACCAGATTCTAGTAACTTTAATATTAGGGATTGTTCCACCTGTCTGGAGATATCTGTATATATTTTTATAAAACATGACAGTAGTATGAAGTTAGGTTATAAAAAATGACAGCTATTCAGATTTTATTTGTCAATTTTTTTAAGTTGGCAGCAAATTTGATAAAAAATGGCGGATGATTGCGGTACTTTCTATATCCAGTGACTTTATTTAGGTATATTTAAAAACGCCCTCTATTTCGCAGCAGTATAAACATATACCCTTTAAACCATGTTTGAACCGGTAAAATGACGCTTACGAATTTATGAATTAAATGTCGCTGCAAAAAATTTAAAGCGCTAAAGTTTGCACAATTCGAATTCCTTATTATTGGTATTATTGGTATACAGCGATATGATATGACAGTTTGCCCACCATTGTTTAATTCAAGAATGGAGCTACCCATTCGCTTTATATTTTTTGCAGCGACATCTAATGCATAAATCCATAAGCGTAATTTTGCTGTACATGTTTATACTGCTGCTCAACAGAGGGCGCTAAATGTGTTATGATTTAAATGCATAAGGTTAGCAATCGGTTGTTTGTGAATATCTGTGGTATGGCGAAATGTAGAAATGCTAAACAATATATAATAATTTTAAAAATTCTGCATCGGCCGGAAATCGAACCTGGGCTGCCCATTTTCTACAAATCGTATTCTAATGACATTTGGCATCGTTGTTGACCATAAGAGAAGTGTAGGTGAGACGGACTATAGCAAAATCATGCAGTTATAGACTTCTTCCTTCGCGAACCGGTACGGAAAGCGACGTTTCCAACGGTGAGGTGTGCGCAGTTAGAGGTACATACAGTATGGCAGTTTGCGACATTGCAAGGTGATGACTCATGTTCAGCACAAACGTTTTTTCAATCTTCGGGATTTTTACGCAAGTGGCGGCTATTGTTTTAGACAACACCCATCAATAGGACTGGTAGTGGTCCTCCTTAGAACGACCAGTTATGGAATTCTTTTAATTTTTTTTTAGTTTGCCTTTATTTTTGAGTGGCCGGGGTTTCAGCTGAGGCTGCTCTACCAACCGCACCCACTATACATTTACAAATATCCTTGCCCGAACCCGGATTCGAACCAGGGACCCTCAGCACCACACTTCAGCTTGAACTGAACTGCGCCACACGGACCGGCTGCAAATCAAAATGGCATTGCTCTGCTCCTGCATATCGGCAATCGATTACATTATTGCAGTAAACAAAGAGGTTGAGGTCCTATAAGGAATTTCGATAGGAATATGACAGTGGATAACTACTACCTACACTAATTACCTTTTGCCTCAATTTCCTCTTGAAAATGAAACAGCTTGACCGGTACAGTGGAAAAAAGAAAAATACCTCTAGAGTTCCTTTCGAATAGATTTCGTCCCATTGGATCTTCTCGATTCCAATATGTCGCTAACAAAAAGAAAGTGTGATTTTATTATAGACAATGGACGATAAAGCAGATATTGATGAAACGAGTAACAGACCAGAGATTATTCTAGAACACAATAGAACAAAATGTGGTGTAAATGTGATCGACCAGAAAAGTACTTTCCACATTATAATAAGCAGTACTTTTTAGAATGCTTGGTATTTCAAGAATAAGCTCAAAAGTTATGTTCAATCATATTCAGCACTTTCAAAAGTCTCCCAGAAGGTTTTTCATGAAATTTTTTATGTCTGTGTGACCCCGGATGGTTTAGATTCATAATTTGACCTCATCAGATTATAGGATTTTTTTTTAACTTATTTTTTCGTTGAGATCGCATTCGATTATTTCGAGTAGGTACTGATCGATACATGCGCAAGTGATTTGTATCATACCGTACCGATGAGGTCACGGGGGAAAATCTAGTTTTTACAATAAATATTTCTATGCACATTTTGTGAGCGGCATTAAATGCATACAAAAACACAAAATACAATTCCATACCTCAAATCTATGTTGAAAGAATTTGATGGCCTTAAGAATAACATTTTTGGCCATTGAAACGTGGTTGTATTCTGACTAATTCGAGCTATTGTCTTTCTAAAATGTGTCGATTAAAACTTTACCTAAGACTGTTAGAAGAATAGAATTCTTCAGTAGATTATTTGTTTCTTTTTCGCCTCGATGCTGGATTGCATTACGGGAAGTGACTGGCGTAACGTCCAGTTCAGATCTGAACCAGCATAATTCAATCCGGTATTGCATGATTATTAAATACGCATTATTAAATTGTGGAATGTTCCAGAGTACTGTGTTGCTTGCGTCACCTATATCTATTCTACAGATGTCTCTATTATCTATCACTAATATTTTTGTTGCGCACAATGATACTGTTGCACCCAAAACCTTTCTCATATATAAATTTGGTCAAATGTCGCAGTATTGGTTCGTGATTTGCTAATGTTTTGACTTTTATAGGGCGGAAGTTAACGACGAATACGGAGGAACCGATCCGGAATCTTCGTGTAGGATTAAGAAGCCGCCGAGTGTAGCGGTCGTGGCGAGCGTTTCGACGTCGGAAGACGTGTGCCCTTGGGAAGTGACACCGGAACCACATTCTAGAAAGAATTCGTCGCAAATGGATTCGTGTAGTTCCTCATCGGATATAAGTGCGGTCGTAACTGAGGTGTCCGATCGATTCCGACGCACGTGTGGAATTACTCAGCAGAGTACATTGGATGGTGGCCAGTCAAGTAGAAAGCTGTCGACAGTTTCTTTCGTAGAACAACGTCGTGCATCCGTTTCGGTGCCAATAAGGCATTCCGACATCAGGCCTTCGGTGTCTTCCTTTGAGGAGAGCAGCCCTGCGGTTTTTGCCGCGCCAGTCTCCCTTGCAGTTGCTAGTGATACGGACAATAAAACCGAGGAATTTACTTCCACTAAAACTTTCAAAAAGAGTTGTAGTCTTACGAAAACTTGCTCCGTTACCGGCGCGAACGCTCCCATTATAAGTGTAAGTTCAGTGACAGACGATACAGTGGCAGATTCGATTGAGCACAAAGAAGACGACGAGGCAGAGTCAAGTCTCAGTCTCCCGTTGGCTCCTCTTGCCGAACCGGACGCCGAATCGGCAAGTAGCGATACACCGTTGGAAACCGAATCCCGTCCAGAACCCGAGGCAAAGAGTAACGATGTGTGCCCGTGGGAAGACGAGTAAGTTAACACCACGCACCGTCGCACTAGCACTTATCATCAGTGCACATATGTGAGCTATACACTGATCTTCTTTGCTCCACAGGGAGACATGCAAAGTGGACGCTCCTTTTGTCAAGACATATGCAACTCTTGGTTATCTTTAATACATCCTGCTACCGCATTCCTCACTTCAGTTATTTGCTCACTACTATAATCGATCGACTTTTGAAGTTCGACCAAGTTTTTGGCGGCGGGTACGTTTCCGATGCTACACGAAATTCAAAATTAGAATTTTGTCGCGGCGGCCCCGGGCGCAAATGCGACCTGCATGTTACATGCGCGGAAAGGATGAGCAATCGTCGAGACTAGATCGAATATCGGGAGCTTACTTGTGAGCCCTTTAAGTTTATCCGATGTCGATTTCTTTCGCAATTGTTTCTCCTCGACGACTTGTAAACTATGCACAGTCGTATATAGTCAGAATTTACACTGGGGTTACAAAATTTAAATGTTTTCTATCTATATACACACGCATTCAATATTGTCGATATAATGAATGTTAGCTTAGAACTTAAGATCAATTTAATTGAAAAAAATTCGTGGAAGGATTAGTATGCGGTGCAGCTTCTAATCTTTTACTAAAAAAAAGTTGATGTATTTGCATGTTATGTCATATAAATATTAGTCGGTAATACAGCTTCAATATTCTATTGCACGTATAACTAGCACACGCACAGTGTTTACGTAATGTTTATGTAACGTGGTGTTTTCGTGTATATCCAAGTAATTTTAATTATACTTGTGGTAGATATCTTAAACAGTAGTTGAATATCATACCCATCTAAGTGTAATTCTGACCATCGCCATCTATTTGAAAGGGTCTCTTGCGACTTTCTGTTCGAAAACTGTACTAATATATTGCAAACTTAAAACGCGTCATCGGAAAGGCAATCGCGCGCCAAATTCTTGAAGAAACTACAGTACAAATAGCTCATTAATATCAAAATAGCGTCAAAGAAAATGTCGAATGCAGGAATTTCTATAATATGCTAGTCTTTACATACCTACCTATTTATTATACACAATCAAATTGTTGTAAATAATTTGCCACCAGATCGCCCGATTTTCTAGCAAATTAGATATCGCAATATGAATCGATCAATGTAAATTTCAATTCGAGCATATGTGGAGTGTCTAAAAAAATTGTTGTTCGTTGCATGTTTTTTTAAATGGTACGTATTTGCCGATGATACAATAATTCAAAATAAGATGAAATCGGGCTGCCAAATATGCAGTAATCATTGTACTTATTTATTGCTAGTAAGATCACAAAACTGTTCTTGTTTGGAATACTTTTTCGCAAACGTGCGTTTATGATATCAGTTAAGGTGACAAAATAGTCAGTGATAACATGTGCTTATTTTCCACAGTGAATTTAGAGAGTAGCGTGTGGAATTGTTAGTAGAATTTGAAAATTTAATAACAGCGTTACCATACTTACTTGAAAATGTGGCCTAATAAAATCTTTCCGTTGTATTTGGGCAACACATTTAGTTCGACGACTAGTCTGTAAAACGCTATAAACTAAGCAGCCTTGAGGTTTTGTACAACAATAATGATAACAACAGCGCTACTGTGTAATTGTGTATATACCTAGAGAGCCTAGGCATTAATGTTCCGATTTCACACAGTGTTTTGCAGAACCTCTCCGTAGGTTCAAAGTATGTACCTATTTGCATTAAAGTATTCAAGAAATACTCCATTTCAATATGCCATGTTATTCAAGAGTTATATGCGATGTGATTTATGAAGCTATTTTTAATTGATTAGTCTTTCATTGTCGTTAGATAAATTAATTGGAATAATGTTCATATTATGTACACATGAAAACAGACAGTGAGTGCTTAGTGATGTATATAGTTTTGTAATCATGGCTAGTCGATATTTGTTATGTTTAATACGTATACATCTCAATTGTATGACTTTAATTAATTGCTTATTTTAAACAGCAGATATAAAAGTTGCATAATTAATTAAGGTCGATGAGAGAGATGATTATTGTCCCTTAGTCCTTTAAATTAATAGGCAGTTGTTAATAGGCCAATGATATAAGAGAATTGTAGATTAATAAATCAAAAATATATATAAATAAGTTGTCTTTCGCCTTCTTTAATTTATTGGTACCGAAGCTTATTTTCTTCTTCCATTATTTTGGCTTGTTTTGCTTTCATTTTTTGAGTGGGGGGGGGGGCGGCAGTACCTGTTCTACCATTCGCAACCGGTCTTCAAAACGTCCACGTTGGAACCCAGATTTGAACCAGGGAAGTTCTTGGTCATAGCCTTAGATCGTGTATATATGATAAGGTCATAACCAAGCTGGTCGACAAACTTACAATTTAGGTATGTATCTATTGATTAAGCGTCCTTCACAAAGAAATGATTTGGCAGTTTTTATGGTATATTTGGGCGTCGTGGCCAAGACCGCCAAGGGGAATCATAGGGGCCTATAAGTGTTTCAGGTTTGAACTCCCTCCAAAATTTGGAAAAATAGCTAAACATTATTATCAAAATGCACGTACATACCTACTCTGAATTTATCTTCTCTTTCAAATACTATCCTCCCTACGGCCCTGGGTACAAGGAGCTATTTACGTTTTCTGCAGCGAATCGATGATGAATATAACAACGCTGGGAGATTTTGATGCATCCTACCCATTGTACCTTGTTGATCATTTATCAATCTGTGCTTTATCAAATAATGTTTTCTCTACAACCTCGTCTACAACAACAAAAAACAGATGCCCCGATCATCCTAAACGCCGTCAGAATTTGATGGGAGATCAGTTTAGATGATTAAAAGATTTGAAAATTGAAGTACCTGCCTATACAAATGTTCTATGAAATATGGAGGTATAAGAAGGAGACGGTTTTGCGTGTGAACATTGTGCAGCGGATGAATGCCCGAAAGGTAAAATAGTTATTTGTACAACTATACAGAAGTGAAGTTTTTCAACTCGAGTTCAAAGTTTGACACATGAGAACATGAAATACACATTGTTACTTAGCCGGACCTTCTCTAGTCCAAAAGCTATCTTAAGGTCCTGGATATGGTAACCTTCGACTAAAAAGTTGTATTTCGAGAGGAATGCCGAAAAGTATCTCTATCATTTCGGTATCTTCCTTTGCACGGGCGAAAAAGTTAATTACCCCAAAAAAGGCAGATTCGTACATAAATAATTGAAATCGCCATTCACTCTAAATGCGTTTAAACAATCAAATGAAATCTATAATAACTGGCCAATCTCAAACAAATCAAAATAGAAATAAAATTTGCATTTAAAGCAACGCGCGAACTCGGGCCTCGGTAGCCTCTGGTGTAGACTCAATCGCTCCAGGCATTATGCGGTTCCAGCAGATGGCGGCGGTCACTTCGGCAAAACTAAAACAAAATTTAAAACCCAACTGACAAATTTCCTAGCAGAAGAAAAGCAAATAGTCACAGTTAATTTAGCGGTTTCTGCGGAAGACAATTGCGGAAAAACGTACAAAAAATCCCCCCCCCCCCCTCCTTTTCATAATTAGAGGAAGAAGAGCTTATTACCTCTTGAGAAAATTAATGAATCGGAAATGAAAACAACATGACTTAGCAAAATGCGCTTCAAATTAATTCGGTTTTTAATTAATTACTCGGCCTGTGGCTATCGGAAAAATATGGGACAACTGGTAACCCACTAAATCAATCCAAATATTCCTCCCTGAACGGTTTTAATCCTGATTCATTCATTACAAAACTTACATGCTTAGCGGCGGTACAATAAACAAAAATTACAGAACCTCTACGAATAAACATAAGACGAGAGAATATAACGGTGGTGGGTAGAACGCGACGGAAGTCGTCATCAAATATTACTTCCTTTGCGCTGGTCAGTGATGTTGACTCGAGTCTTGACTTAAATACTTACAGAAGAGACGATGTCAGTTTTGTTTTATTACACCACTCCCAATAATGACGCGTTTCCCCCCACTCTTATAACTTCCTTCTTTTCCATTTCCGTCTCGACCCCTTTTAATGTAAGGTTCTCTTCTCTCCTTTTATTTTTTACTGGTAGCACAGAACTCACTCTCCGTCTCAACGCTTTTCGATACCGGGTAATCAGCAAAGCTAGCGCTCCACGAATATACGGTGTGGTCTGTGGTCACAACTCCAGGGCGCAAAACAGGTGCTTCGTTACAAAGTTAAAACAAATTGAACTATACTGACTGATTGAGGGGAACCAGAATGACATTAAGAGTGACAACCCCCCCTCCCCACCCCTTAACCCCCAGCCCCCTCACTTCACAAATCCTAAATGGCAACCCCTATAAAAAAAGAAATCAACCAAGATTGCTTAATGAAGCAGCTCAGGTTGAAGTTCTTAGCCAATTTGCCATAAATCCCTCAATACCAACATTTAGTTTTTTTTGTTAATTATTAAATTTTTGTTAAATTGTCTTAATGAATATTGACTTTATTGGTACCACTGGAAAGCATTTTTCAGTACCTTTCCAACGATGTGTTACAAGTATGGAGTTGCTATTTAGGATTTTTGAAGAGGGGGGGGAGGGCTGGGGGGTTTAGGGGTGTTGTCTCTAATAACGTCATTCTGGTTCTCCCTCGATACCCCCGAAACGGTTTTGCGCGATTTTCAGTATCTTCTTTAGTTTGGAAAACATGACCGACTGCAAGTTTTAAAATTGACACCCTGTATAACAAGCTTCGAAATTATTACCTTTACCTCTTAGAGAAGGCTTTCTTTCATAGTCTAAGATTATTACATTGTCGGACAGTACCGGGTGACCCAATAAGACTGTTCCTCGGCCATATATCTCGGGAACCGTTTCTCTTTATGACTTAGGGGTAAACAAAATTATTGGGTAAACGCTGGAAAATATTTTCAAATTCTAAAAATGGCCACCAGAGGGCGTAACTGCCATCTTAAATTTTAAAATTGCATTTTCTTTAAATTTCGCATAATAAACTTCCAAAATCCATTAATCTCATTTTCCCAATATTTGAGGTTAGGAACGAACGAACGATTATTGAAAAACGGTTTTCACTGGCCTCCTTGAATGTTATTTGGCTAATTTTTTATAAAGAAAAAGTCATACCATTCCATTTGATTTTTTAGGGTGGGTCATGGTGTCAAAACTAATCCCGTGGCGGAGAAGGATTCAACTAAATTAACTATATTTTGATTGATTCTTATTGCCCACGGAATGCTCTTTTCAACGATATAAAAATTATTAAAATCGGTCAAACCATAAAAATGTTAAAGCAGGTTATTGCAAAAACAATTGAACGCCCCATACCATTTTTGTTTTTGAAATAACAGTTTCTTTTTTTTACGAAAATTTAAAAATGTGAAAAACATTTTTTTAGTTTATTATGCGAAATTTAAAGAAAATAGCAGTTACGCCCTCTGGTGTTCATTTTTAGAACTTGAAAATGTTTTCCAGCAAGGAAAAGTCTTATTGGGTCACCCGGTACAGTTTCGAGATGTAACGTATTTCCACGAGTCTATATAGGGGCATTCTTGACAAGCGTCAGTTAGAAAGATATGGAGAACCTTAAGGGTTTTGACACATGATGAATTGAACTAAAATATTTTCAAGATGGCGCCACTTCCGCAAATACCGGAAGTAGCCATCAACTTTATTTTAAATAGGGAGCCCCCATTTTTTTCCATTTTCGGATTCTACGTCGAATTTGGAGTACAACGGTACCATACCATAGTTGACCCTTTGCTCCAAGGGCTTACCTAGTCGATATTCAAGTTTTTATGTCAAAAATTGAATTTGCAGGGGTAACTTTAAAAATTTATTATTCGAAAACGGTGAGAGATATTGCAAAACAGTTTTCACTGCTTTATTAAGGAAAGATCGAATTTTCTTATGATATGCGTAACCGTCTAAAAAAGTGAGACTTCGTCACTTGTTCAAAGCTTCCTCTTTATATTCTCACATACTCATATAAAAAAATCCAAATGACTATATTACAGATAATTGTATTCAGATATATGCTCTACATAATCACAGGAGTTGTGTACATTTAGAAAAATACAATTTGCACACAAAAACTAAATTGCATTATTTGTAACAAAAAAGTAACCAAATTTCCTACAAGTAAAAAAGAACAGAAATGCTATAAAAGTCGATAAATAAAAATTGAGCATTCTACTTAAACTGAATTTTCAAAAAATACTAAACTTCTTTTTCTTTTTTTCTTTCATGATAGTGACAGTAGAACATTCAGATTCGTCGACGTCTTTATCCGCATCAGTCTTTTTTGAACCTCTTAGTTTAAATTTTTTATCTTTCTTTTTCTTCTTTTGCTTTAGGTCATCCTTCATCTTCGCAGTAAGATCCTCTCGCTTCAGAGTGTATAAAGTCAGTTGGTTATTTATGCTATCATCCTCTTCCGCCTCCCGAATTCGATCCATTTCTAAGCATTCAACTATTTCATTCCGCCTCTCCACGACCTCGACAAGACGAGTAATTAGTTCCTCTTCTCTAGCCTTGTCACTGTCTGTCTTGTTAATTTCCGGTTGTAACATTAAGCAACGAATTTGATACTCTAAATCTGCATACTCCTCCTCTAATCTTTGCTGTCGGCGTCTGCAATAGTAAGAGTCGAATAACGTCATTATTATCAAAAGCTAAAATACTTACAAATACATCAGTTCCGCTTGCTTACGGAACAAATCATTTTTCTCGTTCACCAAGTCGAAAAGCTGCAAAATTAAATCGTCAACTTCAGGGGAGAGGGTCGTGTTGGATTGCTCGTTGGGCCCTTCGCATTTCTCCCGAATAATTTGCTCCAGTTTAACTCCCTGTTTTTCCAAGCCCTGCTGTTGTATTTCTATGAATTCTAGTTCTCTTTTAATCTCGCCAATCGGTAAAGGATTGATGTGTCTCCTTTGTGGAATCGGGCGCGAGGGCGCTGGACCTTTGCGTCGTTTCCATTTGCCGTAGGTGCTTTTGTTGGGTATCGAGTAATCTTCGCTCAACGGCGATTCAGGACCTTAAATATAAAAGTTTACATAAAAATAAAAGCGAAGGTAAATTAAGAATAAACACAATGGTTACTATGACCAAGGCGAAAGTGAACTGCAAAAACAAGGAAACAGTGGGACTGGGGTGTAAGTGGAAAAAGAAAGAAATACACAAAATAAAAACAATAAGTGATTGAGTAACTTAAGGTAGAGAACCAGAAACAATTCCTCCATTTAGTTTTGTTTAATGGAGCGGGGTGCTGAATTTGTATTATGTTCATCAACATAGGAAACTGTACACATACATATACCGCTTCATAGCGAACGTGAACGAAAGGATGTGTGGAAATAAAAACGCGTGTATTTTGGTTAAAGATGTGCGTTTTGGAGATAAAACGCTAGTGAGACCGGATTGTAAGGGGGTTTTTGGCTGACGAGGTTAGACCCGTTTTCCGCCTTGAGGTTAGCAGTTGTAGTGATCACTTCGTAGATGAAACACCTGATATTTAGAAGCATTGCAAGTTAGGCGATTCGTTACAAAATGTGTTGTACCAAAAATATTTGTGTTGATTCTATTAATTGAAGATAGAAGGTAACGGTGTCTGATTTAATTTCTAGAGTTATGTTTCAACCACCCCCGCGTTCCCATCAAGATATTTCAATTATTTTTGTTTTTTTTAATAAATAAACCACGCAATTTTATTTAAACAAATTAAAAATTTCTAAAGATTAAAAATTCATAGTAAATAATAAATTTCTTCCATGAGGATCGCAGTTGGAAGCGTCCCCATTATTTTTAATTTATTATTAGGTACATTAAAAAATAGTTATTTATATAACAAGAGCGCGAAGTTCAATTTCGCGCATTGAGACTGAAGGTATTTTGACGAGGCGAAGCCGAGTTAAAATATCAGTCAAATGCGCGAAATAACTTCGCGCTAGCGTTATATACAATATTTTTTCTACAACTGAACAGATTGTTAATTAAATTTGCTGTTTAAGTTCAACTTTGTCCCGTGCGCGAAATACTTTTTTCACTGTTGACGATTTCGCGCACCTTGTCAAGAGCAACCTTACTTATTAATTAACCGATTAAAAATCTAGTACTTCGCGTTTCGAAATCCGTTAGAAAATGACAGGTTTTTTTGACAGTTGTAGAAAAGTTATTTTATTTTTTCTACAACTGTCAAAAAAACCTGTCATTTTCTGACGGATTTCGAAACGCGA